TGGAGGCTTCCCGCATTACGGCACACAAAAGGGGCGACAGGAACTTCCATGTCTTTTATCAGCTATTGAGAGGTAAGGAATTTGTCTCGCATGGAAGACGAATGCCATCTCCATAGCACAGAAGATTTTTAGATTTTTTGCGACAGCAAGCAGAGGTGGGAGGTTCCTGTTTATAGTGACGGCGAGCCAACTGTGGGTGGGGCACCGTTCAAAGTTCACATTAAGTAAATATTCTTCTTGCACTTGCGGTGTATTCCAGGCACGAGTGACGAGCTGCGCGAATCTATGAGGTTGGCAAGTGACGAAGGGGCCTACCGAATGTTAAGGCCTGCGGAATCCCACAATTTCTTGCAGAAACTCTTCTCCAAAGAACAGAACGCAACTCGCCTGAGCGGAGTAGATGGCGCTGAAGGCAATGCTCAGGTCCCTCTTCAAGTGGATCAGGTCCAGCAAACCTATGTTCATCGGATTTGCATTCGTTTAGTTCGACTAGATGCTACGTATGATTCATGCAAAACAAGCTTCTGGTGGACGTCGCAGTCAAACTATTCGATTGTTGCATATCCGTGGCTTGAGTTGCTTCCAGAGGCCCCATTTCCTGACAGTGTCTTCTTATGCCTATACATCTTATGGTGTGCATGCTTTCCTGCACAGGAAAATTTCAAGCTAATGGTGAGAGGATTCAAGCGTGCGGAGTTCTCACCTGCTGAAATCACTGAATTGCTGCAGCTACTGGCCGGCCTTCTTCACCTGTCCAATGTTTCTCTAACGGAATGCGACGGGGATATTTTGCAGCTGAAGGACACAGCCTCGCTTGAGGCACTCGAGAACGCATCTTTGTTGCTGGGGCTAGAGCAAGAGGAGCTTGAAATTTTGCTGCAGTGTCGCTGTATGCTTTTGAAGGGGGATATCCTTTTCACACATAGGAATGAGCAGCAAAGCGCCAGTGCCCGATGTTCTCTAATCAAGTTCATCTATAGCCGCATCTTTGACTATATAGTGCATCGACTAAACAAAAGTGCTGCACGACATATAACAAAGCATGGAAAGCAGCACAGCGAAGCTATCAACAGGAGCAAGACAATTGGCAGTAAGCATCAACCATGATACCCGGTGTACCAGGTCACACTGCCTTGTACGCCGATTCCGCCTCCTTAGCTACTTGTTACGGAAGTATCTCCAGACTTGAAATGATGACTGTGACTGAGTGCCATTGAAGTGAGTGGCACAATCGGGAGTTCATGGTCGTGTCTCGGAAAGGGCATGATGGAGAAAAATACGCCCGCATGCTACGTGTCTGCGGTATCATGTGTTATTACCTTCAGTTCTTGACATCTACGGTTTTGAGTCCTTTGGGCTGGAAAACGGACTGGAGCAGCTCTGCATCAATTATGCAAACG